GCAACATATAACTGGCCCACTTTTTAAACACTGTTCTTGTCTAAGGTTTTATTTGAAGAGCTCCCATATGAGACAGAGAAACAGCAGGAGTGAGGAAGAGAAGGGAGTTTAAAATCCATTGTCTCCTTTAAAAACATGTGTGACTGAATCAACATCCTGCATTTTCACTGTTGATGGGCAGGACAGTCTGATCAGATAACGTGCTATGCCAAGAGACCTAATTACCAATCCTCTGGAAATTACTTTTAAAGGAAAAAAAATAAGTCTCTGGTTACTCTTGGTTGAATAAAATGTCACTTATTTCCAGTCAGCCATTTTCAGAAAGGCACTGCCCATTTCAAATGGAATTACTGGTGAGCTCTGTTACCCAGAAAAGGTATACTTCAGCCCGTCAGTTTCAGAGATGCTTTAAAACATCGGTTTCTAACACACGAGACTGAAAACTATGCTGTTTTCTATGCCTCAAGCTGGCTGTGTCATTAAGGGGGCACCTAGAACCAGTAAAACGGATACAAATGAAATGTTATTGCCACAAACACTTGAAATAAATCTCTAAGGATACTACATAAACTACCCTGAATTAGGTCAAATTGGTTCACTCTGGTGAAAGAAAACCAAAGTTCAGCAGCCAGATCCCTTGGGGGGTCTAGGTCTCCCCTCCGTCAAATTTTAACACTCAATTAGAGGCAGTTTCAAGCTTTAATTTGGTCATTTCAGGAGGCACGATCTTTTAAAAAATTACAAATTCGGTGTTTAAATGTCAGTTTCTTTGATGTCAAGTTTCTACTAAGAGATTCATTTAAATTAGAAAGGGGGGTGGGGTGTGGACAGGGAGAGACAGGAACTAAACAGTGAGTCTAGAATCCCAGGATAATCACTCTTGGTCTGCCTGCCTGCCAGCCTCTGGAGGATTGCCGAATCTAGCGGCCTGCTCTGGGAGAGGAATTCCTTAACATTCTTACAGTTCAAAATACTTGTCATTTTGTTGCCTGGTTAACAGGAAGGCTGGGGGAGGAGGAGGGAGTACGTAGCAACAAAACCTGGACAGAGGGTCAGTTACTGCACTTAGAGCTCATCCTGCTCCTTCACAGGCTGACCGCTCTGGTAATCCAGCTGCCCAAAGCTTTGACTGAAACCCTAATATAAAAGTTGGTCCAGCGATGTTTCCTCTATTTCCCTATAAATTCTCTGAGCGCTATAACGATGTGAAACATTCCAGGCATGACTTTAATTTGGAAGTTTCAGCTCTAGGGGAGCCACGGAGATAAGCTAGTGTTGCACTAGATGCCTTTGTCAACAAACCACAGGGCAGTAGGGAAGTTTTTGGGAGGTTATTTGCCCAAACCCTAACCCAGGACACAAAATCTGAATGAGCAAAAGGAGGCGTGAGAATCAAATATTTGATAACAAGACAGTGAATTCTGTCTTTGTGATCCTAGGTTCTTAGGGCAAACACTAGCCTGTTTTATAAACTTTCCCAGGGGAAATAACCATCTCTGTATAATTGGGGCCAAGGCAAGGGATGGTGAACATTTGTACAGATGTAGTGTTTTGCAAACCCCAATTATTGCCTCCACTCTCCATTTACCGATCACATCCCACCTGTCACCAAATGTTGGGGTTTCTGGCCCTGAGCTCCACCTGCTTCTCCCCAATTTTATCACCACTTCTCTTGACAACCGCAGGAACTCCCTCAAGGTCTTCGTGTTCCCAGCTTTCAGCCGGAGAGCCCATTCTCTACACTGCTGCGATTATCTTTCAAAAACTTAAATGTGCCCACTCCATCCTCTGCTTCCAACCCCCATCACCCATAGGTTAAAATACAAACTACTTAGCTTAGGATTCAAGACTGAAAAATCTCCTTGGGAAAAACAGAAAGCACAATAAGCCCCAAGGACACAGTCCTTAGGTTGCTCTGCTCTAATGAAGGGATAAATCCATGAATGTTTAAACTAACTTTTGTGGGTCGGGCCCACATGGATAACTTTGGTTCGACATGGATTCCAAATAACCAGTTTATAATGAATTCTGAGAATGCAGCCATTTGTAAGATTGAGACTAGGTGCATTGCTTTATTTGTATTTCTTCTTGTTTAAATGACTTTGGAATTGAAATATAATAGAACTAAAAATTACATATGAAGGTCAACAATGCCTCTCAGAGTAAAATCTTACCATTCTAACCTATGAACGCAATTAGGTGTCTAGAGAAGTGGGAGGAGTCTTGAAATTAAGCCTATCATATAGATGAACACGGAGGTTTACCTTTTAGAGCAAACGGGTCCTAGGTGTCTAGAACTTGATTCCCTGAGCTAGGTTTGTGCTTCCACTATTTCAAGGTTAAAATGTAGAGATGAAGCTAACTCTATTAAATTAAAATGGGGGGGGGGGGCGTGAATCCTTAACAACCACCACAAAGAGGTGGTTTATCATTTTGCACAATGCTTTGTATTTCTTCTTTACCTTCTCTCTTCTCAGCAACTAGAGGCCATGCCTCTTTAGTTCATCTTTCACAGTCCTCATGCCTGGCACATGTTAATGGATGAGTGGATACACACTTCAGCACAGTATATCCAAATAGATGATTCCTCCCTTTTCTTGCACATTTATCATAGACGATGTCAGCACTTCTTTAGTGCTATGTAACAGGCACTAGGTAAGTACTAAGTAAGTTTACACATATATTATCTCACTTCATTCTCAAACTGTTGATATTAGTGTCATTTCCATTTTACAGAGGAAATTCAGCCATAGGGAGGTTAATTTGTGCAAGAGCAGAGAGCTAGCAAGTGGTGATGCTCCACGAGCCCACATTCTAACCACCATACAAACTGCCTCTTTTCACGGGGAATCTAGAGCTCCCTGAACCTTGTAACTCCATCTTTCAATGACTTTCAGTTGTCCAGCTATGGGAATCTCCTCCAGAGGCAATATGCATGTGGTGCAGGATTGTGGGGAAAAGGAGGCAAGTACTGAATCTTATGGGAATATGAGATCAAATGTCGTCTGAGACCTCAATATTCAAGGTAAAAAGCAAGGATATCAAGTTTTTCAGAAGAGGGCATGGCATAGTGATCTGACCAAACTGGTCATCTGGCTTTGAATAAACACAGGGCAGAAAGGTGGGAGGAAGGAATAACTAGCCAACGACTTAGGGATTATCTTATCATGAATCCCCAGTCATTGTTTTCAAACCAAAAAAGAATCTAATCAAGAGACTTATTCTCTCTCATAGAATGAAATACATGAAAGGCAAAAAACCCCACAAAAGACAAAAACCCTCTTACATTTTCCTGTTGTTTCCCCTCGCAGGTCTTAAGTGCTAAATATATTATCTAGGAGTCCATTAGACCACAAGTAGGCCCTTGAAATATTTTTAAGCTTTCTTATCTGTTTAGTCTCATGTTGCTAGAAGAAATATAGCAAACCACAAAGAAATTAGTGACCTTATACACTTCTTCCTTGTTTGCTCAACCAGTTATTGCTGACATACAAAAGGGGAAAATTTGCATTTTGAAGTCAATTTTGTTGATGCTGTTATTATTTTTTGTTTTGTTGCAAGGTGCCACACCTGTGCCCTGTGGGAACAAAGGGGAGCCAGGGTGTCCTGAAGACAAGGAAGGCTAACAGGTGGCAGATTCCGTCAGAGAAAGAAAACCAGGGGACAGTGATTTGGAATTTGCATTTTTGTACTTGTTACTACAGAAAGAAACTTCAGGAAGTTCAACCGCTGGTTTAAAAAATAGCTAGTGAAGATAAGAGTACAGTGCAATTATGCAGGTTTAGGCAACAATCACTGCATACTGTTTATTTTTCACATATCCTAAAAACCTGGAATTCTAAAAGGATCAACTAATTTATAACTCTAAGGCGAATGTCCTCTTTTCTTACCGAGTATGGATAGTTTCCTTTCTGTTGACAGAGTGCAAATTGTTTTACTTCAGGTATCCTGAGTTTTATACGTGTACTACTTGGCAGTCCACACTGCTCAAATATGACATGCTGACGCAGCCACTTCTGGAATAAGCAAGTCCAGTCTCCTTTAGAACAACCGGCACCACCCCTCTTTTCTTGTAGGAAATTTGTAAATGGAAACAATAGTAGTATCAGAACCAAGAATATCTACGCTACAGGCACGCAAGCAAGGAGACATTAACAGGCTGCCAGTAAAAAGTAAAACTCAGTGGCATTCAAAAATATTTATAAAAATATCTTCCATAAGGTGACACAAGTAGTATTCTGCAGGGTCAGATGGGCAGGTCAGCTTCCTGACCATATTCGGTTATCGGTCTACCCTGCGCGGGCACTTGGCATCTATCATGTCCAACCTTTACACCAATACTGTTCTCTCCATTTACTAAAGTCACACCGCTACATGCAGGTCCGGTGGACTCTCAAACCCATGCTGTCTGTCCTGCCTCTGTGGGTACAGACCAAATTCCCTATTTAGAAAATTTATCACTGAACTGGTATTTTATTCAACCCAATATCATATAATACAGAAAGAATCAATTACTTGTACAGAACAATGAGCCAGTGGCTGCGAACTGGAAATCTATGTAATTGAGAGTTTCTCCTTTAAGAGTGAAAAAACAATCACTAGAAATGTGATATTCTTAAAGAAACATTATGGACATATCTAAACTATGCAATAAATGTTAATCAGATTAACTTTTCTCTTTCAAACTTCCTTTTTATTCTAGGTTGATAGCCCTTTCCTTATTTCCTTTTTTCTTCTAATTAAGTGTATATCCTAAGCACACCCTGTAAATTCTCCATCCGAAATTTCAACGACGAAGTACAAAGCAAAAAGCAGCAGAGGCATGTCAGTCTGCATGTCACAAATAAGCCAGAAAATCACAACAGACTGATATGATGCACACCTTTCTGGTGGCAGTGATCTCTGCGAGTTCAGTTGATGACACTGAACACTGAGTCCACTTGGAAAATGCCTGTCAGAATCAAGGCTGTGGAAGAAAATATTAAAACAGGACACCAAACCACTTTTCCCCTTCCCACGGAGTGTTTATTTTATAGCTTTTGCATCAGGTAATCAACTGAAACACTTCAACAACAGAAAGCTGGCAGAATGTTAAGGAAAAGGAGTGATTATCTCTCCAACAGATGTGACAAAATGGTTTCAAGTTGGAAACAGTATTGCATAAATGAGTCAACTGAACGGGGGAGAGGGGAGAGAGGAGGGAAGAAAGCAGAGTCAGAGGAAGGAGTGAGCATCTTCCAACATGGATTGGGAGGGAGAAAAGGCACTGTTTAGCTGTGTATATATAAAATAAAAGTCAAAATACACAATCCATGTTTCTCAAAATTACATTCGACGCTGCTTTAGAGATGCTCACATACCTGTCAATAGAAAGCTACAAAAGCTGTCTAAAATTCAGATAGACAGCACCAGTGTGTCTAAATCATAGCTTACCAGTAACGTGTTTGAGAGAGATCATCACACTAGGGTCCTTTTATAAATAGTACTACAAAGATCACAAAGCTGCATGAACTTAAATTATAGGATAAATCTGACTAACTAATCAGCCATTTCCATCTCTAAAATTCCCACTCCAGGAAATCAGAAAGTCAGCTCCGCTCCAGAGGAGCTGAATTGGCAGTGCATTTGAAACAGGGCTGCTTTCCCCTCACAAGGCTGCCTGAACAGCAGTTCAGTTGGCATCATAATGCAACTTTGCAGAGGGTAAATGGATGCAAAAATTTAACAGCAATTGCTCAGCTTCCTCTCAAAGTAAATAGCACTAATTTATGAAAAGGCAAGTTTTCAAATCATAAAGTAGAAGCACCTGGGCCTCTTAAGGACACATTTCATAAAAGGTTACAGTACCGGGTGCTTCTCATAATAAAGGATTCTAGGACCATAGGTGTGTTTCACATTGATCAATGGGAAAACCCAGAGAGATGGTTTACACAGATGTTCTCTATGTAGAATTTGAATATAAATTAAAATACCAGCTATGCATTTGGGAACCAGCCTTTAGTTAAATTCTCTAGTGCCTTTAGAATTTTTATTTCGTTTTATTAGAAAAAGAGAATCATTGTCTACAAACTATTTTCTTTCTAACTATGCAAATACAATGAGCAAATCACCTGCAATATCAAAATACTGTTTGTAAATCACTGATGGCGCTAACAATTTTAGGAATTTCCAGTAGGACACATATTGAGAAAGAGCAACAGTAGATTTCAAATTATAGGCATTAACTGAACTTTAAGAATAGAAAATAATATTTAAAGTTTAAAAGTCAGTACGTTTACGTTCTCTGATTTTCAATAATTTAAACCCAATCATCAGGAATTCAGAAGCACCCAAAATGTTCAAAGTTGCACAAATGTGTATGGATGACAGAAAAGTAATCCCCATGCAATATTTTAAGTGTTGCTATCAGATATATTTAAGTGATACTTTACAGATTAAAGCTGGGTAAAATCAAAATATATCCTCCCATTACATTTTAAAACAGTCACAATAATTTATCAACAGTTGTCGTTTCACAGCAAATAGAAAACAGGAGTTGATACAAGTTGAACAAAAGGTACTTTTTCCTCTTTTAGGAAATAAACATATATAGATATAGATATATACACATACACACATAACATTATCTTTTGAAATTCAAAGTGGTTAATTTGCTTTTGTATTATATAAAAAAAATTTCCCTATGATCAAAATACTGAAAAAGCGCAAAGGCTGAAAAAAGAAAACCACATCTGCCACTTTAAAAAAATACATTATTGTCTCAGTGGTTCTATTTACTTATAAAGTTCAGTATTATAAGAGTCTGCACTGGTCAGACTCCTAGGACTGTACTGGACCAGATGGAATTGAGTCTAACCCTTTCTCAGTCTCCAGGAAGGATACTCCTAACCCACCCTACAAGATGACAGAATAAATGTCCCTATTCTGAACTGTTCAACTGGGAAAGAAAACACGCCCACCTAGAAGCACTCTAAGTCACAAAGGTTTATGAATCTGTGGGAGAGACTGCCTGAATCAGAAAGCAATTCCTGGGATATAAGTTAGGAGCTTTTGGAAGTATATAAACTCTTTTAGGCCACTAGAGTACAGATTCAAACATGATTTCTCCATAAATAATGATTTCTCTTATTACAGGGGCTGGAAACTGCGACCCATGGTCCACATCTGGCAGGTCACCTGTTTTTGCAATAAAATTCTTTTGGAACATAGCCATGCTCATTCATGTATGTACTGTCTAGGGCTGCTTTTGGGCTAAAATGGCAGAGTTGAGTAGTTGTGACAGAGATTGTATGGCCCATAAGGCCTAAAATATTTACTCTTTGGACCTTTACCAAAAAAGTTTCCTGACCCCTTGATCTAGTGCACTGCTGCTGCTCCAGTTACCTAGAAGAGTTAACGAACCTCAGGAAGATGCAGCACGTACTCCAAGAATAACCCGCGTGCTGGGGCCCTCAGCAGATCAGTGTCAAACACCCCACTGCCTTGAAGTGGTGCCTTACTTTTGGGCAAGGAAACAATTTGTATATAGTTCAACAAATAACTGTAAAAGTTAATAAGTACAAAAAAGAAAGAAAGCCAAATAAGAAAAGTATGCCTGTTGATGTTCTCTTAGTATTTTCCTGTTATTGGGGGGAAAGGGTGTTAAAATGATTCTTTCTGTCAACTTCCTTTAGCCTTTCTTTAAACTTATTTATAAATGTTTTTTGATAACTACTGCTCCGTCCTCGCCTCCCTCACCATTAATAACTTTTAAAGCAACCTGCCTGAAATGCTTACATAGTTTGGTGAGGCCTCGTTCAGGAATATTTATTTAAACTAAACATATTGAAGATTATTCTTTGAGAAAATGTTTCCAAAATATCTCTGTTAATCTAAGAAGAGGAAGAAGGTAAAGAGAGTACAGGCAAATTAAACTCTGCAAAATATACCTTAAAAACCAGAGGTATAAAATAGCTACCATTTCTGAATGGTAATGTAAAATAAAAACAGAAAAATCTTCTGAATTTGAAGAGCAAATTTTCCTCTGCCCTGAGTCAGCTAATGGAGTCGTTTTCAAACAGGGGACCTCCTGAACTCAAGCAGCTGCTCATGAATCTTTAAGAGCTCACAGATGTTTCATATTTCAATAGTTGTTGAAACAGGGAAGATAAAACACTGAGAAGATATTTATCAAACACTAATTTATATCAAGATTAACTTTTTTTTCCAAGTAGTTTATAAGTGGACTTTTCTCTTTCTTTGCTAAAAAATGAATGGTATGAAACTATATGTTAAAGATGTTCCCATAATACCTTACATTTATATAGCGCATAAGTTTTCAAAGTGCTTTCATATGCCATCTCATTTAATCCTCACAACACCCCTGTGAGGTAGGTACAGCAGGTATTATTATCCTCATCTCAAGATGAGGACATTGAGGCAAAGAGAGGTTAAGTGACTTGCCCAAGGTCACACAGCCAGGTGGCAGAGCCAGGACCAGAAATCAAGTTTTCTGATTCCTTGTCCAGTACTCTTTCCACTGTAACTACTGCCCCTAATTATGAATAATGTACTGTGTATCAAAATTGAAAGGTTATTGAAGTTCATTTCAGTGATGTCTTAACAGTAAAGTTAAATGAGAAATACAAGAACAGTAGGTCTGATGGTTTTACTCAACATAATAAAAATGGTGCAAAACCACTTTTCTCTAATTACTCATAACCTTTTGGTCCAAATACATAAAATATGCAATATTTACAGCATTTTCCTTTTTTTTGTAAATGCAATGCTTTAAAACACATTATAAAGCACCTTAGTAAAAATAGTCTACAAGTAAAAGTACAGAAGAAGTAGGAAAATCCTACCCATCCCACAGCTCACTAATGGAGTTATAATATGGAGTCACTGATATCTCAGTTTACAGTTTTACGAATAACCCATGGAGAAACAAACATGAAACTTACTTTTTTGATATTAATGTGTGGAAGCTTTAACTAAAACTTCAGGCAATGTCAACATTCTTTGAAGTATCTCCTCAATCTTAGATCATGGGGAGACAGGAATGAGAAATACTGCTTTGACTCTTTTTACAGTATTAGTAATGGTTTAAATTGGTTTTTAACACTAATGATTATTTTTTTAGGGAAAATTAAAATGACCTACATAAATATGGGCAATTCCAGCTACTGCAGAGACATTTTTTAGCAAACATGGTCAAACGTCCCAATAAATTTCATGAGACGTGACTCACAAAAACAAAGCGCACACTGCCAAACAGTTCATAACACTACTCAGCGGAGGCCTGTGACCCAGCCCTCCAGGTGAACGTGGAAGTGACAGACGGATGCATCTTCGTTCACGGTTAGTGGAAAAAATGCTTTATCAAAAACAGAATGTCAGAACTTTTTCTAAAATTGTGTTTAGCTTTCAATTAGACCTGCTAGGTGTTTGTTTTAGGTGATGTGTAGGTTTTTTCCCAGGCAGGAGGTCATAACTCCCACCAAACTTTAACCAGAAAAAAAAAAAAAGGCCGAAACTTAAACTTCTGAGCCCACTGCCATACCAGCCAGCATCTACTTCCTCGACGTTACTGTTTCCTAACTCGGCGCAACGCAAACTGTCTTTACACCTCTCAGCAATGCAGGCTGTGGAGCTGAGAAACAGGTGAAGACAGGGTCAATGTCTTAGTTCAAGAATCTAACAGTCACACCTGGTACTCAGTTCGATTTAGGGTAAATTTTTTCATAGAAAAAGTTTTGTGCGAGGATGTAGAGGTCTCCATCTTTTTCCCGGACGGCGTGGGCTCTGATGAACTGGAACTGCTCCAGCGCAAATTCATAGAACTCATTCTCCATTTTCCAAATGTCAGATTGCTGGAGTTTTGCAATGGTTTGTTTAGTGGGCAGTTTCTTCTCTGTGGTTTTCCTAAGATGCGATTTCTTTCCTACTTACAAAGGAAAAAAAGAAAAGGTAAATAATTCTGTGGATACACAAAAGATCAATGCCTCTTTGTTGGAAGAGATGGTTTAAGGTAATTGAAGGACAGGGAACACAATTGTTTTGTATTAATATCATTCAGGCAAAAATGGTGACCTAATCATACTAGAACTGTGACTTACTCTATTATAATGTAAATCTTTAACCTGTTAAAGACTTAATGAGATGTCAAACAGTAAAGTAAAGGGTAAGTGTAAGCCAGTGCCACTGAACAAGTGTAAGTGGTCACCTTACATGCTGTATTCTCAACTACTCAGTGGTTTGACTAGTTTATTTTTTAAAATATGATAAAATACCTATTTTCAAACTTATTAATTTTTTATAACCTATATTCTCTATAATTATATGTTAGAAGCTAGAGCATATGCATACCCAATGAAAAGAGTTCCTATGATTGCATCTTATCAAAGAACAGCAAAAAAAATCTACAAAAACCCTAGAATTAGATTGCACAGTCACTACATACAGTCTTACATACCTGAAAGTGACTGTGCTATTGAATATCACACATTTCTAAGGCTCGTTCTGTAGTTTGTATCTTTTCACTATTCTTCCAATGCCTTCTAATTATCATCTAATGCATGTTTATTAATCCACAAAATATTTAATGATCACCATCTGTGTGTCCAACACTGCTTGGTATTGAAAATGGTGAGGAGAAACAGACAATATACCTGCCTTTTTGGAGTTATTTCTTACGCTTTACTCAAGAAACTTCAAATCACATATATTTTTCAAGTCGCAAACAAAATTAAGGACAGCTTTAAAAAGAAACCTGTCCTTGGTATACCTGTCCGGTAGAGCTCTGTGGCACCCCTGAAGAAGCGGGGCAACGCCGCCTCCAACAGCATGATGAAATCTTCCAGCTCTTCAGTAACTCCCACCAGAAAGTACTCATTAATTAGGTTATACTTGGCTTGATCCATAGCCCACCTGCTCCCCACATTCCTAAAACCAAAGGAAAGGAATTAAAAACCTGGTTGCAAAATCTGCTAAGTATCTTTAATGGCTTTGACAGTATATATTATGGAGAAAATAGATAAATCATGTCCATCCAAAGCCTTAATGCCCTTTTATTGATGTCATTTGGGAGGCACCCATTTTTAATCTCCTTTGCCTCTCTCCCTAGTTTCTGCTTAACTATGCACTGCTAATTCAGACTTTCCTAGAGGACACTTAATATAAACAAAGTTTAGTTTGAAGGCAATTAAAAAATGTATATTGTATATATATTGTATATAATGTATATGTGTATATATATACATATATATATGCCATATATATATATGTATATATATACCACATATTCCTCCCACCTGACTTAGTGCAAGTATATTTAATTTTTTTTAACTACTCTAAACTACGTTTTTAAGAGCTCTCTCTCTAGTAAGGAAGGTCTAAGCAATTTGTGTTTAGTGCTTATCTTAATTTGTGAGTTTAGGTTTTTCTGAAGTTTCTAAGGAATGGAAATAAGAAGTGGCTCTGCTAAGAATCTTACATTTTTATTTTTTACATTGCCAGCTAATGGCTATTTATAATAGAGATTTGGCCCTAAATAAACTCTACTTTCTGGTTCTTTTTAGCCCTGACATTCCCTAATCCTAATTCCAGCTCTCCTTTAAGCACTGGGATATTGAGCTGTTGACTTCACCTTTCTCACTGTGTTTTTCAGCCGTTAAAAAGCTGGGGTGGGGGGAAGGGGGATGAATTAGTTGATTTCTAAGGTCCCTCCCAGTTCTATGAATCTATGAAATATACTAAAGATGTTCAATTAAAATCTCCTCAATAATGCCCAAGAGAACAATACTCTTTTTTGTTCTAAGGCGAGAGTTGGTAAACGTTTTCTATAAAGGGGCAGAGTAAATATCTTAGGCTTCGCAGGCCATACGGTCTTGGTCACAATTACTTAACTCTGTCTTGCAGTGTGAAAACAGCCATAGCCAGTAAGTAAACAAATGGATATGGCTGTGTTCCAATAAAACTTCACTTATAAAAACAGGTGATGGGCCAAATTTGGTCTTCAGGCTGTAATTTGCCAATCCCTGTTCTAAGAAAATGACTAAAAATTGAGAAGACATTCTTCCTATGCTAATTCTTCTTATCCTATTATTACGCTTTGATATAATCTATTGAGTAGTACTTTAAGGTTCACAGTAACAAAATAATATGTCTCAACGAAAAAAAGAACAGAAAACATTCCTTGAATTTTTCATTATAGTTTTAAGGAAAATACTAACTTTGAATGTGTTCCTGTTTTTCTCTAATTTTCCTATTAAAATGATTGATTAGAACAAATAAATACATACCATTATTTTTAAAAACTGAAAACTTAGCACATTCTGAGGAAATAAACTCTTTATTAAAGGTAAAATATCTTTATTTCCTACCTCATGTTTATTAGCAGACTAAACCACATCCATAACCTTGGCTTCTCTCAAAGTCGAAATCAGTTTAACAGTAAAACCAGGTGAGTAATTTACCCCCTAAGCCTTTTCTTGATCTAACGTGAAGAGGCTAAAACAGTAAGCTAGGGAGAAAATGAGGTTTCTGAAATGACCCCTGACCTCTAATTAAGAGCTCTGCTGGAATATAGCAAGACATGTACCACCAAAAACAAACAAAAAATTCAAAAACCAGCATTTGAGAAAATATTGCATGGATATTATATACGAAGAATCTTTTTAATGTACTTAAAGGTAATCAGAAAACTAGATATTAATTACACGTTCTTTTTTAGTCTGGTCTGTCATAATTTCCTTACACCTGGCCCCTGACTAACACATTCACACTTGTGAAATACAAGTTATCGAGATAAAGAAGATGATCAATTTAAGCTAAGTTGATCTCCCTACCAGCATTCCGAGCTGTGGCCACAGAAGAATGGGATTTGAAGCCAGAGCTTCTCTGGAGCACAGTCTGAGCCGCCCTCAGCGACACATTCATCAAAGGTCTGGAAGCAAGAAAAAGAGCACATGTGAGCCATAAACCCAAGTCTCACTTATCAAATGTCTTAATGCAGGAGGTTACTAAATAAATGGGTGGCAAGGGTGGGACAAGACAATGAATGAAAGGGACAGGCGGGTTACATACTTGAGATACTGAGGAAGGTTCACCATGGATTCTTCTCATGTCTTTGTTTTATGCCAATGTTTATAAGATTTCTTTCGCTACACGAATGGAAACCCCTCCAGATAATTATCTGTCCTTGAACATAAGTATTGGTTTATGTTGAATTTGTGTATTTATATTTTCTATCCCCTTACCAAAGGAAATTAAATAAAACAAGGCTAAAGATACTCTTTTACAGGGCTGGCCCCATGGCTCAGTGGTTAAGTTCGCGCGCTCAGCTTTGGCGGCCCAGGGTTTCGCCGGTTCGGTTCCTGGGCACCGAGATAGCACCGCTCATCAAGCCACGCTGAGGCAGCGTCCCATATACCACAACTAGAAGGATGAGCAACTAAAATATACAACTATGTGCTGGGGGACTTTGGGAAGAAGGAAAAATAAAATCTTAAAAAAAAAAAAAAAGGTACTCTTTTGTGAAATAATCATTTAAAAAGAATATAAAGTAGGACTACACTTAAATCTCTTTCTCTTTACCTCATTAAAACAAGCAAAAAATCAGGTAGAAAGCAGAAAGGACCTCAGATACTTGTGACCTGCATGCCCTCCTCTCCAAGTGCATCGGACTGAATTAATTAACAGGGAAAGAGACTCAGGTTACAAATCTCAAATTAATCAACTTTACTTCCTTGAGGGCTGTCTGTGTGTCACGGGCATTTTAGCAGCAGGCATTATCTATTGAAATGGTAAAGAGAGAGACCAGGAACAACCTTGGGCGCTCTGGTTCTGGCAGTGAGCCATCTAGTCCTGAGGGAAGGCTTCCAAGTTTCTAGAACCAGGTTTAACCCGATTTTAAGTAAGTCTTTAAAGCCTTCAAATCTCACTTTCTGATGTATACAATTAGATAAACTCAACAGCCCTGTCAACCAAAAATCTATGACAACGGGGCCAAAAAAACCCTTAGACCTAGAACAGGTGGAGCCGTAGTGGAATTATTCTCTTTATTCTGGCCACATTCAAGAGGCAACAGCAAACTGCAGCCCACAATTCACTTGCCCATTTTGTTTACAGATAACCTTCACCATACTACAGTGAAAAGACCTATGGATCTTGAATTCTGAACCCTGAATCCTGAACCTGGAAATGTTAAGTTTTGTGTTTGTTTTCTTATTTAAAAAAGAACATAATCTTACTTTGAGGAAGAAATAAAATCATGGATGTGAAAGCATCTACCATAATGACTGGTTCGTCGTAGGCAGTCAGTAAATGGACGTGTGTGTCTGTGTCTCCCCCCTGCTCCTCTCTAATAGTCAAATACAAAGTTTTGCTGGTTCTTGTTCTTCTTGACCACCATAGCACGTGGCCCCACTGACCACTCTCTCCTTTCTGAAAATCTCTTGGTCTCTCTGCCACTGATAGATTGTTAGCTTTTTCTTCCAACACTCCCCTTTCTGGCTTTTGTTTGTTCTCTGTACCTTTCTGAATGCAACATCATTATCTTCTTTGAAGGCATGTTTTGTTCCTTCTACTAAGTATGGAAATTCATCTCAGTTATCTTCTCTTTGCCTACTCCCTCCCTTCCTTAGCTTATTCACATTTCCTTGGCTTCATTTATAATTTCTAGGCAAGACTTCCAAATTTGTACCCCCATATCCATCACTTCCGGTCTATTTTCTAATATCTCGTGTGCATTTTCATTTGAATTTCGAGTTTAGCTAATATTCAATATTTCTGGCAAAAGGATTACATTGCCCCTTGTAATTCAGACTCAAGGTCTCAGAACATTTCTTAATCTTTCTTCTCCCTCACCTAACATCTTTGAGGTAATGTCTTTCCAATCCTCCTTTTCTTTTTCAATCTTACTTCCATCAGGATCTCACAATGTCGTGTCTCAATTCTTAGAATCACTTCCTAAGTGGGCTCCCCTCCCTCCCTTCCTTCCAGTCTGCTCTGTACAGTTACCAGATTAGTCTAAGTAGTCACTTCTAACATCCTCTACTCAGAAACTTTCAATGGCTTCCACTATCTTTAAAAAAAAATTCCAAACTCTTTATTCTGGCCTTAAGGAATGCTTCATACTCTGACCTCAGTGTGCTAGTCGAGCTTTATCTCTATTTGTAACTTCCGTCTTTACCACATTAACTTGTTTTGTAGTTTCTTTAGCATGTCATATGTACCTCCCAATCCAAATACCTTTGATGACTACATTTTCTTCCTCTGATACTGCCTTCCCTCTCCCAAGCTAGTTTACATGAAGACTGTCTTTCCAATGACTACTCTGGCCTAAAGTCACTCTTATTTTCCTTGAACTTGTATAAATTAATTATATACTGCCTCATACTAGCCAGCTCTGAGGATCCAGGTATGTATATCTATATATACATCCTTATCTCAAGTACTTGCTTCATGTACTTTTTTTTTTCATTACAGTGAAAACTTCTTGGAGGAATCATGCAGTATGTGTTTGTGCCCTCCATAACCCACAATATATTGCTATTCAAATTGTTTGCACAATCGATATTTGTAAATGGCTGGAAAGACTGCATTTTGGGGATTTACATGAGTATTAAAGGCACAGTTATAGTGGAGATGAAGATAGGGCAGTAACATTTTTTCATGAAGCATTTTGACAATCTCTTAGAGTTCTCTCAAATTCTCTTAGGATCTCTCTCTACACATACACACACACAGGCACACATACATACACACATACAAATAAATAAAGAAAATAACTTTAAGTGAAAAGACCTCAGTGTATACTTAAGACTTCATATACCCCATTTCAACGGCTATTACATTATTTCTGAATTTTAGTAGATGGTCTGACTTAGATTTGCTGGCCTAAGTCACTTTCTAAAAAGTACTTTTATTATCATTTATGCTAATTTGTAGCTCATAAAATAAAACAAGCTATGTATTTATCTATCTCTACCATGTCCCAATTTCCAAGAAAGCTTTGGCTTGATGAACCAAGTGATGATATAGCAGAAGGTTTCTGATTCCATGTCCTTCCGATTTCAGACAGGCCCTAGATCATAGTATGGTGACTCTGAAGCTCAGAGGTGCTTCCTTATACCTCTGTCTGATTAGAGTACCAGACAGAAAAGGAATGAATTGCCGAGGTAGACTGTGGGTGAACTCACAATCTCTATCACGGTTTGTGTGTGCGTGTGTGTAAGAGTCAAAGACATTAAAAAGATTTTGCTTAAATATAAGAAACTAGGATATTAAAAGAGGCTGCGGTGTTAAATGTTTCCATAGAGTTACTATGTGAACAACTTTGGGAATTTAAATATCTACCATTGGAATTAAAACTGATCAGTGAATAAGCAAGCAGGATAGCTATTTTAAACCAAATTCTCTAGTTAGCCAACTCCTATTTCCTGTGCTCTTGAAGCATTTTAGTATTTCAAGGACGGAAAATCTGTAGATAATCTCCAGGTCAATTTCTGGCCAGCAGTTTTAGTTCTGCTGGCCCATCCTGGCAGTCTCAGGGTTACCTCCAGAATCCACTCTTTCCTTCTGCCACAGTCACAGAGGTTAGCTCCCTACAGTTAGGTAGGGCCATGTGACTAAGTTTTTGCCAGTGGACTGGAGGCAGAAGCGATGTGAGCAAGTTCTGGGTCGTTTGGTTAGAACAAAATTGCTTGCCCTCTACTTCTCTTCCTCCCAGAGGCTGGAAGGCAGATGTAGTGGTGACCCAAATTCAATCAAGCACATAAGGACAACCCCCTGAAGAGGAGGAGAGTAACAGTGTGGAAGGAACCTAGGTCTCTGAATGATAGTGTAGAGCAAAGTGGCTCCAAGAGCCTGGGTGCCTCCACTGCAGGCTCTTGTGTATGACAGAAATAATCTTATTCAAACTATTTGAGTTTCTTTGTTTTAGAAGCTTAGCATCTACTCTAACTAATTCACCTACCAAATGTTTTACTAGACAATCTAAGAAGTGGAAAAATAGTTTGGGTTTTGCTTCCTTTATGATTCCTTCTAATCATTTGGGGGAGGTGTTTCATTCCTATCAACTAAAAGACACAACCTAAAGATGGCCAGTAGCAAGGAAGATGTGGAGAAAAACCCCCAAAGCTATAATAAATAATTAGTGAACGTATATGAGTGTGCCAGATCTTAGCATAGAACAGAAATTCCCTCATTTCTCTATGAATATTTGATGAATACAGTAAACCAAGTATTTCCTAGAGAGAGACAACCAAATCCAGACAACTCAACACCATCTTTACTGCGTACAACCTGATGAACCGATCCACTGAGATCTTAGGGTGAGGTGCTGCCATGACTCCGGCAGTAACATCAGCACTCGGGCTTCTCTACTCACATCACAGAAGACTGTCACTCAAAGGCCTGGTCACCAAGACTGTCCTGCTTACTTGCTAACTTCTATTAGCCTTTTCCTAAATATTTTGGTCACATTTCAAAATAGAATTTTCTATAAATAAATATTTTTCTCTTGTAAAACAAACAAATGAAATAAAAACACTCCAGATTCTCTTCCTCTCCCACAAAACCCAGCTACCAGTACACCACAGAAATAAAAAGTTTTGATCAGCTTTTTCACTTAAAAACCATCTATGCTAAGAAAGAGCAATTCTTTGTGAACTAGATACAAATGTTTTTAAAAGCATGAAATATAAAAATACTCTTTAGACCAGTTAGATTATTAGTTTAGACATCTAACTCCTAAAACTGAAGGTTAAAAAATTAAACAAAATTTGACACTTGATAGTGATGGCAATTACATTTACATTCAAAATCTTACTGCAAATGATCTTGCTTCATATTTTATACAGAAAACTGAAGCAAAGAGTGAGCGCCCTCGATTTCCTGCTCAGATAACAGCTCATCTGTGTGCGTAGCCCCCACTGCCACCCT